ATCGCCAGGCTGTGGTATCTGATCTTTAAAGAGCGACCGCTGTCTTAACCTGGTCCAACGTGTGTGTTTGACAGAGAAGGCTCTCAGGCTCCACAAGGCGCTTCAGCTTCCAGAGAGCTTCTAGGGCTGGCCTGCTTCTCCCATCACGTGTCCCCAAGGCCTCAGAGATGCTCCAGCAAGTCTCTCTGATGCGGCTCAAGCCTAGCTCTTTGCAAAGCCTTACTCGGCACTTACTATGGACCAGGTACAGGTGAGGTCTCCACAGCCCACCCCAACTGCTCTTCCGAACTTCCTTCTACTGTGAGGAAAGCACTACTGTCTGCTCTTTTATTTATTTATTTTTTTTACAGTAGCCCCAGTTGGCCTGGAAACTCTCTCTCTATGGAGACCAAGCTGATCTCAATCTCACAGAGATCCACCTGCCTCTGCCTCCCAAGCGCTGGGATTGAAGTCGGGCACCCCCACACCCAGTCATTCTTTCATTTTATAGATGAAGAACCTGAAGAAGTGCAGTGACCCAACAAGCTGGTGGCAGAGCGCCTTCTCCAGCCTCCCCCCAATTCTTCCATGTCCTTGGCCTCCCCAGGTACCGCTCTGTGGTAGACCTCCTGAAATCTTGGTCTGAGGAGAAGCGGCATTACTCATTTCCAGCCCCAAAGGATTGTACCCCTCACTGCCCTTGGCTCTGCAGTGGTCCTGTCTGCTCCCACTACACCCAGGTATCCTTGTCAGCTAAGAGTGATGATGAACACCCAGCGGGGCACCCCAGATGGAGAAGAATGGGGGGTGGGGGTGGAATGAGAGTGAAAACACAGGCTCTGAGGGCTACCTTTTGTTTCTATTTTTGTGGAAGGATCTCACTAACTCTCTATCCTCCTGCCTTAGCTTCCAGAGGGCTGGGACTCAGGCACCACCTGTGCCCAGTGTATGCTTTCTTTTCTGTAAGGTATACATTCCTAGAAAGTTGTGTGGGCACTGAATCAATCTGTGTGTGTGTGTGTGTGTGTGTGTGTGCGTCACAGCGTCTCAGGCCTAGAACTCACAGCAATCCTGCCTCACCCACTCAGGTGCTGGGATTATAGACATGTGCCACTATACCCTACCATTATTTTGCTTTGAATGTTTTGAGCATTTTCTGCCTTCGAAGGCTCCTAGTATCTGTTTTATCCTCTCTCCCTCTCTTCCTTTATATAGTCTTGGTGATGAACCCAAAGCCTCAAGCGTACTAGACAAATGCTCTACCACTGAGCTGTGCACAGTCCATTCCAACTAGATTTTATTTATTATTTATTTATTTTTATTTCTTGTTTTTTGAGACAGGGTCTCCCTGTAGCCCCAGTGGCCTGGAACTTACTATGTAGAGTGAGTGGAGCCTCTGCCTCCTGAGTGTGCCACCCTACTAGGCTCCAAATATCTTGTTTTTGTTTTGTTTTTTTGACAGGGTCTCCCAAGTCAGTCTGCCAGGAAGTCACGCTGTGAACAAGGTGGCTTCAATCTTACAGAGATCTGCTTGTCTCTGTTTTTTGAGGGCTTCAACTATCTTTAAAATAAAAATAAAAGTTAGGGCTGGAGAGATGGCTCAGTGGTTAAGAACACTGGTTGTTCTGGCAGAAGACCTGGATTCAAATCCCAGCACCCACATGGCAGCTAACAACTGTCCGTAACTCCAGTTCCAAGGGATCCCATAGCCTCTTCTGTCTTCCGCGGGCATTGCATGACATGGGTGCACTTACCTACATGCAGGCAATACATGCATACACATAAAATAATAATAAATAAAATATTTTTAAAAAATAGACTAGCTGCCCCAGAAAAACAGAACCATTCCTTTTTTATTATATTAAGACCTTCATTTATTTTACATTTGTTTGTTTATTTATTTAGTGTGTACATGTGTGTAAAATAAAAATAGCATATTTTGAGTGCTAAGATTATGTTGATAATATGCATAAAAATACAATGCAATATTGCTGCTGTGAGCAACAGGACAGGAACTTCCAGCTGTCCTAGTCTGTCCATTTCTTTTGATCCTGGCTGTCTCTCTGTGACTCATTTGTTGATAATGTCAGAATGCAAACTCTGAGACCCCCCTACAAAATGTGACATCTGACCCAATGCCCCTCCTGCCTCCCATTAGATGTTAATTACCTCCTTTCTAATGAAGTGCAGAGGTACAGAAAGGGTTAGAGACTCAGTCAAAGTCACACAGCAGGTGATGTGGTGATCCTGATTCAAGTGTGTTTGATTCTAGTCTGTGTTTAACCTTCAACACAGTGACTTGCAAAGGTTAGTTACCAAAAGGAAAAATTTTTTAATGAAATGAACAGTATAGAAAACAGTAGCTTATACCACATATGATAAGGCTAAATACTGGTTTATAAAACGTGTGTGTACATGTGCGTGCATGCGTGCGTGTGTGTGTGTATGTGTGTGTGTGCATGTGTGTGTGTATACACACACACATGCTCTCACGGTGCTGGATATCAATCCCAGGGATTTATAATGATTGGGTGTGTGTTCTACCATTGAGCTACCCATTCGTAGGCCTGGCCTGCCCTTCATTCATCAAATTTTTGTGCTGTGTGTGCGTCTCTAACTTTTGTACACATATGAAATAATTCCTTACTGTTGGTTACAGTAAAAAAGGTTTATTTTATTTGTTTATTTTTATTTATCTATTTATTATTTTGGTCTTTTTGAGACAGGGTCTCCCTGTAGCCTCAGCTGTCCTGTAACTCACTATGTAGACCAGGCTGGCCTTGAACTCATAGAGATCCACCTGCCTCTGCCTCCTGAGTGCTGGGATTAAAAGCATGAGTCATCACGCCCAGCTAAGAAGATATTTTTAAGTCCCCTTCTCCCTTAGGACAAGCAGACCACCCTCCCAGGAAGACCTCACATAATGTACCCACCTGGAACCCAGCCCAGGAACCTTGCTGTCCAGTGATTCTGGGCTCCTCCAAGCCCTTCACAGTTTCCTTGTCTCTGTGCTTCCACAGATGGTGTGGGCATCCTCCAGTCGGCTGGGCTGTGCTATCCACACCTGCAGCAGCATCAATGTGTGGGGCAGCACCTGGCAGCAGGCTGTGTACCTGGTCTGTAACTATGCCATTAAGTAAGTAACACAACAGGAAAGGGGCGCTGGGGAGGGAGAGCAGCTGCTCGGAGTGTAAAGATCCACACAAATGTTCCCCCTTCTATTTAAAACCATACAGGTTAGGGAATTTTAAAGAGTCAATTTACAACCCATTTTTTATTTGATGCTGGGGATGGAACCCAGGGTGCTCTGCCCCTAAGCTGAACCCAAGTTTCAGAATCACTTGGGAGAGCAGAAGAAGGTACAAACACAGCATCAGATGAAGTCTGTAGTAGGAGTGTGGCCCAGATTGGCTCATCCACCCATTGATGTGGCTGTGCTAATACCTCACTGTGGATCTAGATTTTCAGACCAATGCCAAGCCTCTTGCCACAGGTGCAGTACCAGTCCTTCTGAGCTTAACTCAAGAAAATAGACAGCTAAAAATACCTGTTCCTGCAGGCAGGCAGATCTCAGAACAGATGGGATAGAGCATGCTCAGCTCCCTCTCCAAGACTCAGCAGTCACCTTGGTGGGAGAGAGATCAGGAGCCATTTTTACCCAAATCTCTTAGAAACGCAGGGATATAATGATAGAAGTTCCCATCCAAGCTGGGCATGGTGGTGCATGACTTTAGTCCCAGCACTCAGGAGGCACAGGCAGGCAGATCTCTGTGAGATCCAGACCAGCATGGTCTACATTGTGAGTTCTAGAACCAGCCAGAGCTATAGGAAGACCCTATCTCAAAGTTCCCATCCAATACACAGCATGCAAACTTCTGAACATCGAAGATTCTCATCACAAAACAAGAACAGCTGTTTAGTCTTGTTTGGTTTTTGAGACAGGCCTCACTCTGTAACCTAGACCGACCTGGAACTCACTCTGTAACCTAGACCCACCTGGAACTCACTCTGTGGCCTAGACCGACCTGGAACTCACTCTGTGGCCTAGACCGACCTGGAACTCACTCTGTGGCCTAGACCGACCTGGAACTCACTTTGTAGCCAAGACTGACCTCAAACTTCTGATTGCCTCAGCTTCCTAAGAGCTGGGATTATAGGCATGAACCACAATGCCAGGCTTAGCAATTATCTTTCATGAACATGCCTAGTCCAAGATCATCCTTTTTTTGAAAGAACTTTCCCCCTAAGTGGTTAAACAAAATGAAACCAAATCCCACAAAAGAACCACTTTAATTCTGTCACTCAGTCCTTCCCACCACCCATTCTCCGACCTCACCTTTAAGGAAAAAAAAAGACAGGATCTCATGTAGCCTAGGCTAGCTTGAACCTTGAACTCCTGATCTGCCTGCCTCAATTTCCTGATTGCTGGGATTAGAGGTATGCTCTGCCATGCTTGATTCCTAAAAGCTCCTTCTGAGATCTGGATTTGGGGGGCTGGAGAGATGGCTCAGTGGTTAAGAGTACGTACTGTTCTTGCAGAGGACCTGAGTTCTGTTCCAAGCACTCACAGAAGGTGGCTTACAACTACCTATAAATCCAGCTCTAAGGGATCCAGTGTCTCTGGCCTCTACCGACACCTGCACATGTGTGGCATGCAGACACACAGATAAATACATGTACATATAATTAAAAAGTTAAAATAGATACTTGCTGCAAAAGATCAGACACCTACTAGATCAGGTTTCTGGATGAAAAAAGAAAACTGGGAGCCGGGCGTGGTGGCACACACCTTTAATCCCAGCACTCAGGAAGCAGGGGCAGGCAGATCTCTGTGAGTTCAAGGCCAGCCTGGTCTACATACTGAGTTCCAGGACAGCTGGGGCTACAGGGTAACCCTATCTCAAAAAGAAAAACAAAACAAAACAGCAAGAACAAAAACAGAAAACAAAACAAAAAATCCTCAAAATGTTAAAAAAAAAAACAACCCAATCACTTTTGGGGGGAAAAACACTGATTCCATTTCTGGCCATAAGGAGTATTCACTTAAGGTGTAAGAACTTGGGGCTTGTAAAGATAACTGACATACAGGCCAAGGAAGAGATAATGTAGCCTGGATCAAGGGCAGAAGTGATTCTAGGTCTTATGAGAAGAAAGAAACACAGCAGAACAGACACACAAGCTCAGACCGGGACAGCGACTGGAAAGGCAAGATGTGTGCATGTTAACTGGATGTGCTGCTAGGGCATTCTGGTGTTTGACACAGGGTTTCTTTACCTAGTCCAGGATGGCCTCGAATTCACAAACCCTCCAACTTCAGCCTCAGTGGCTCAAGGATAGGGCTCTCAGGGTGAAGCTAAGCACACCCTGCTAACTAGGGCACTCTGGAATGCCCCACCCACAGCCCCTATGGGATTCTGTAAAGCAGGAATCAGAAAATTATGGCCGGTGTGGCTTGTTGCCTGTTTTATAGACAGAATTGTATTGAAACCCAGGAATCCCATTCCTTCATAAGCTCTCTCTTTCATGTCATAGAAATACACATGCAGGCACTAAATAAATCAATGTAATAAAATTAAAATTCAGAGTTGCAGTAAAATATAAGAAAATATACCATTAAATCTTTTTTTTTTTTTTTTTTTTGGTCTTTTTGAGACAGGGTCTCCCTGTAGCCCCAGCTGTCCTGGAACTCACTATGTAGACCAGGCTGGCCTTGAACTCACAGAGATCCGCCTGCCTCTGCCTCCCAAGTACTGGGATTAAAGACGTGCACCACCACGCCCAGCCCATTAAATCATTTTGAAGTGAACTCAGTGACATTAATTATAATCATAATATTTTTACAGTTATCTGTGTATAGAGGGGCGCCCATGTCACTCTGCAACTGTAGGATTTTTTTTTTTAGACAGGTCTCCCTGTAGCCCCAGCTGGCCTGGAACTCTCTATGCAGACCAGAGCTCCACCTGTCTCTGCCTCCTGTGTGCTGGGATTAAAGGCGTGTGCCACCTCGCCTGGTGTTTGCTTTTTTTGAGACAAAGTCTCACTGCATAGCTCTGGCTGGCTACATACCTCCTATGTAGACCAGGCTGGCCTCTAACTTACAGAGATCTGCCTGCCTCAGCAGAGAATTAAAGGTGTAAGCCACCATGCCTGGCTTCACAGGACCACTTTTGGGAGCTGGTTCTTTCTTTCCACCACATAGGTACTGGAGATTGAACTCAGATTGTCAGGCTTGGCAGTGAGTGCCTTTACCCCCTGAGCCATCTTGCCAGCCTTATTTTCATTTGAGACAAAATCACGTAGCCCAGACTGGCCTCAAACTCACCAGGTAGCTGATGATGACCTTGAACTAATCCTCTTGCTTCCATTTCCAAATGCTGAGGTTACAAGCATGCACCTCCACACATGGTTTATGTGGTGCTGGGGACTGAGCCAAGAGCTTTGTGCATGCTAGGCAAGCACTCTACCAACTGAGCCACATCCCCAGCCCTCTCAAATTTTTTTTTATCAGCCCATAGAAACCTCTGTAATGCAGCCATTAGACAAGAACTTCCTATCCCCCTCTCTGAAGGGTGATCTTCTGAGAGGCAATTCCAGAGCAGGCTGTGTAGATTAGGGATGAAACCCTAAAGATATGGAGGGCAGTGGCCATGAGACTCCATGATGGTTACGCTGATCAGCCAATTACTCCAGCTCTCAGTTGTACACATACAGGGATTTTCTCACTGGCTATTTCACATCATTTTTATGAACACTCTCATTTATTTGATTCAGAAGATAGTATGAATTTTTTTTTTTTTTAAATGAGGTGGCTTGATCTGTTACTAGGATCAGAACACAGAACCAGAACCCAGGACCAGAATTCAGTTCCACCCCCTCCAGGGGAAATGAGAACACCAGCTGTTAACAGGAAGTCACTGTTTGCCAGGTGCAATACTGTACACATGCGCATTTGCTCGTAGCTGCATCCCTGAAGAGGAAAGTTCTTTTTGTTGTGCAAAGAAAGAAACTAAAAAACAGATGTGCCATGTTCAAGGTCACATAGCCAGCCAATGAACCTTAAGGCAGAGATGTGGACATATGTGAAGGTTGTTCACTTAACTATTCTGTTCCCTAACCCTGTTTCCCCTGGGCCTTTTCTCTTTCAGGGGAAACTGGATTGGAGAGGCACCCTACAAGACAGGGAAGCCATGCTCTGCATGTCCCCCCAATTACCAAGGCAACTGCAACAGCAACATGTGCTTCTCAGGACTCAAATCCAACAGGCTCCTGTGGATCTGAAGAAGCCCAGTGCTATGGTGCCTCCTGTTGGCCCTGACCTTAGAAACTTCTCCCTGGTCAAAGCCTAGATTCCCTTTCTTAAATGTCCAGAATGTGTCAAAGGTGCCTCGTTGTCTCCTTCCCTATTTCCTTAGTGACATCCTTCTTCTCTCAGACCTCTGGGAAGACCCCCATTTTTCCTTAGTCTGAATCTCTGAAGCCAGGGCAGCCAGGAACAGAACTGGAAGCTTAGCTTGTGACTCTCAGACTTTCAGCCCAAGACTGTCCACCCAGTGAAAGGCATTTATTAAAAAATCTTTAGCCTGGGGTGGAAATGTAGCTCATCCCAGAGAGTGCTTGCCTGGCATTCCCAAAGTCCTGTTTCAGTTCCCAGCAAGGCATATAGGGCTTGTTGGTGCATACCTGTGGTCCTAGCACTGGGAAGGTAGAGTCAAGAGAATCAGAAGTTCCGCTACATAGTAAATGTGAGGCCAACCTGGGAGAGCAAACAGACAGCAAAAATATGTTTTACCTAAAACTCACCTCCACCCATCAAACTCCAGCCAACTTGGCCAGCCTTTGGGGGCTAGTGGTTTCCTCCTAGGTTGGACACATTTCAGGTCCTAACTTGCTTCACAGATGGGGACACTATACCTCCTTCAACCTATCTGGAGCCTCTGCAAAGAGCAGAGCCGAGACCCAGAACCCAAAGCCGCTGGCATCTGACTCTCAATCTGCCCTGCTCTCTTCTGTCTGCTATGTCACCACACCACACATTTTTCCATCTCAGCTTCAGCAGGCTGATTCTCTTTTTCTCCCTTCCAATCTCATTTTCTCTCATTCCAATAAACCATTTCCCCTTTTCCCACCCCATCCCACCCAGAGACCATAAAACACAAAAGTTCTTTTGTCTCTGGAGATAGTAAAACCTCCTCCTTCAGACCTTGCCCTCCAGCTGAGGCCCACTCCCTGCAGGCTACAGAGGGCTCCATTCATAGAGAGAGCCCAGACTGGACAGAAAACAGCTCCTTCCCCCAGAGCCCCTGTGAAGCCCTGGATCAAGTGCATCTTCTCTCCTCTAGGTCGTTTCCACCCAGGCCATTCCTCTCTGCTTCTAATAAAATCATTTGAGATCCTGGGCTGTGGCTCTTGTCCGGACTCTGTCAGCTCCCAGGAGGGTCAAAAGCCAAGAAGAATTTGGTTTAGGGGAGAAAGAGTGAGGGGAAACTAACTCTACTGGAAACAGGAAAGGGGGCTAACAAAGGGCATCAACTCTTTCACTTGGCAAAAGAGAAAGGCCGAGGTCAGGATGAGTGTCAGTATCCAGATGCTGGGAATGAGTGAAATGAGAGGGTCAAGGGTACAGATGCAAGTTTATTATTCCCAGATAATAGCTTTCCTCCTTGGGGATGGCTGTATTAAAAAGTCCTTTATGCGGGGTATGGTTGCGCACCCCTTTAATCCCAGCACTCAGGAGGCAGAGGCAGGTAGATCTCAGTGAGTTCAAGGCCAGCTTGGTCTACATAGTGAGTTCCAGGCCAGCTGGGGGCTACAGGGTGACCCTGTCTCAAAAATACCCCCCAAAATGATAATAAAATAAAATAAAATGATGATGTAGCTCAGCTGATAAAGTGCTTGTCTAGCATGCAGAAAGTCCTAGGTTTGATCCCTAGCACTGAATTAACCCCAGACTTGTAATTTTAGTGCTCAGGAGATGTAGGTAGGAGAATCAGAAGTTCAAAGTCACCCTCTCCTACATAGAAAGTTTGAGAATCAGAAGTTCAAAGTCACCCTTTGCTTAATGGCAAGTTTGAGGCCAGCCTGGACTACATGAACCCCTGTCTCAAACAAATAAATTGTTCCTTCTCCTGTAAAACCATGTAATATATAATATTACATTTTAAAAACCATATATCTAGGGATGTGACTCAGTTGGTAGAGTGCTTACCTAGCAAGCAGGAAACCCTGAACTTGATCCCCAGCATGTCAGAAACTGGCATGAAGTCACACATTATAATCCCAGCACACAGGAGGTAGAGACAGGAGGATCAGAAGTTCAAGGCCAGCTCTGCCTATAAAGCAAGTTCGAGGCCAGTCTGGGCTTAGGAGTGAGACGCTGTTTCTGAAGGAGGAACAGAAAGAGGAAGGGGAGGAGGTGGTAGAAGGGAGGGAAGGGGAAGAAAAAAACTCACTGGCGGGAGTAAACAAAGGTGGAGACAATTCTGGGAAGAGGGCCTCTGCCAGGCAGGAATTCTAGATGGTCTCCAGATTCCCCTTTTCTGGTAACTTCTGAGCAAGCCCAAGGCCAAGATATGAGCAGGTTGGGTTCATTCCCAGTGGAGGCTTCAGACCCTGCAGATCTACAGAGCAAAGACAGGCTTGAGAGGACCATGCTTGTCCTAGGTGTTCAGAGGGAAATTGCTGTGGAAGTCTGTGTTGCAAAGCACTCTGTAGAAATTCAAATGTTGTTGCTTTTTGTTTGCTTGTTTGGCATTGGGGATAACACTCAGAGCCTTGAACATGGTAGTCCCTTATTCTGGCCTTTTGTAGAAAAAGCTTGTTTATCCCTGAGATCTAGAATGTTCCTGTGTTGGGCCAGGTAGTGTTTGACTGGCATGTACAGGCTCTGGGTTCCATCCCCAGCACCATAGAATGTTCCTGTGTTCCCAGAGCTTGTCATTGTAGTGGAATGGCTGTCAGAAAATAAACAGAAGATGAACACACTTTATTAGAATTGACATGTTACCTGGGAGGATAGGAATGAGAAGCTCACAGTCTAAACAGGAATAGGGGGTCTGAAGAAAAATGGCTTTCTTTTTAAGATTGTGTTTGAGAGCAGTTTTAGATTGACAGTAAAACTGAGCAGAGATTTCCTATATATTCCTTGTTCCCACATATCCATAGCTTTCCCCATTATCCATGTCAAACAGACTTTTTAAAATGAAGAGGTGGGTGGGTTCCAGGGAGGAGAGGGCTGTGTGAATAGAGGACCGTGGACTCAGAGGGTGCCTGGCAATGCCAGGGCCTGAAAAAACACCTCTGCGTGTGCGTGTATGCGTGCGTGCGTGCGTGCGTGTGTGTGTGTGTGTGTGTGTGCACGTGTGCACAGGAGTGGTGATCCATGTCAGGGAGGTAGGTAGGGGCCAAACCATGAAGAGTCTTGGGGCTACATCAGGGAGCACACTAAGATCCAGTCACTGGAATGACAGTGTTAAGTTTTCACTGAAGATAAAGAGGACTACATTGTCAAAGGCCAGATTTGGTAAGGGCCCATCTGGATGCTAGGAGCAGTTACTTCAGTAATCCAGGTGAAAGATGAGGTTGACTTGAACCAAGGTGCTGGCACTGGGAAGGAAAGTGGGTGAGCTTCTGAGCTGAGAATTGGGGCTATAGACACAGGTGCCCCTGGATGGAGGGCAGGGAGAAAAGCAGGTGTGCACCTTTTCTAGAGGGTCTGCTCCTGGCTTCAGTTTTCTCTGAGGAAGGGAAAGCTGCATCTTGACAAAGAGCATAGAAAAAATTCAAGATGAAGAGAATGGACAAAGTTCAAAGAGAGAAAATTCTGGAATAGAGGAAATAATAGGTGAAAAGAAGGGAAGCCTGGGGTAAGGATTTGGGGTGGTGTAGGGGATATGTGGAAGTTGGTAGCGACCATGGTCCCATCTAGCACGAAGGACCGGCTGGGTGTAGACATGAAGAAAGCAAAATACTGAGGTCTATCCTGGCTTGGGGTGTTGTCAGGAGAGAAACTGGGAGAGAAGCAGAGAGAGGCTAAAATAATGGTCTTGAGCTTAACCTAGACAGGAAGCAAAAGAAGTCAGGAAAAAGTCAACACGCGGGAGAGCTCAGAAAACAGAGAACTGGAGACAGCCAGTGCCCATCAGTGACAAGTGGAGCTACCCCGGAAGTGGCTGAGAAAGTGTACCCAGAGAGAGCTATATCAGCTAGGCTTTTTGGAGGTAGAGCAACACAGGAGGCTGATGTTACTGTAAGGAGACAAAAAAACTTACCAAAAAGCACCAAGAACATGACAGAGCTGGGTTTTGTGACTCCTCTGAAATCCAAGTTTGTCATTTGAGCACTGCCTAACAAGAGGAAGAAAGCCAGGGTCGGGCATGTCATATGAAAGAGAAGGTCTCAGAAGACCTTCTCTCAGAAGATCTTCTCTCAGAAGACCGCAGGCTTCATCAGCAGGTTTCCTGTAGAATGGAGAGGAAGGCCAGCAGAGGAGTCTTGCACCCACAGGTCTGGAGCCAGTGGTGAATTGCTCCATCCCAAATAGCACCCACCACTGAGTAACATCTTTGATGATCATTAATCTTATTAAGGCTCATCTCCTCCAATAGTCCACAAGTTCCATACATGCAAGGATGACGTCTGCTGTGCTCATTTCTATGTCATTGGAGTTTAGCACAGGATACTACACATAGTGGATGCTCAATTAACCTGTAAGATGAATGGGAGAAGGGGCTGTAATTCGAGTTCCTCACTGACCCACTCTGTGAGACTCAAGCAAGCAACTTTCCTCTGTCTCAAGGTCCTTATCTCAAGGTTTAATTTAATCCTGCCAATGTCTGTTTGCAGCTCCCAGCATCAAATCTGGTAGGCAATAAACTCAATTCTCCACCCTCCTTTGCTCCACTACCCCTCTCTAGACCTCCCCACTTTTTCCTGCACGCACCGCACCCATAATCCAGAGCCATAAAACCCCACCCATTATGGACTCTCGACTCCCCAGCTCCTCCTGCTCAGCCCCTTCTCTCAAGTTGGAAGGCTGATGTTTCTAACATCTGGCTTCAGGTTCCCCTAAACCCAAGAGTGCTGGACTGAGGCCTGAATGGACCTCTGGTCTAGCCAGGTTGCTGTTGCCATGACAAAAGCGACAGTTCCCAGCCACAGGTTCCCCCAAGAGACTGGTTACTCTTTAACTTAACGTATCCACCCACCTTGGGTGATTAGGAGAATCAATAAGATAACCAGGCGGTGGCAGCTGGCTGTGCTTACTGCCTTCCTGGTGGACCAGCTCCTGGTGGCCCCTCTGTTGCTGTGTGTGGGTCCCAGCTCCTCCATGTCTCCCGGTGTCCAGCTGGGTGCATGGTCATGGTCAGTGTGAACGTGCCCCTTGGGGCTCCAGTGGAGGGTCCGTATGGTGAGTAAGGCCAACAACTGGGGTTGGGGGACAGCTGGATGGGTTGGGACCATGGGTGAGGCTTCAAAGGCCACAGGACACCCCCTGTGTTTCTGATGGGCTGAAAGACGGTCCAAGGATTCCTCCTAGAATGACTGGAGGCTCTGAGGAGGTCTGGGCCTTGTTTGCTAAGGTTTCTGAGGAGGACATGGCTGTGTGGGGTGGGAAATTCTGGGAGGGGCTGAAAGAGCCTGAGGCCAGGGTTTGGTTTGTTTTACCTGGAGGAAGGCTTTGCTGGGAACCCACGCCCAGGGCTTTCCCTAATTCTGCAAAAAGTAGAGGTTTCCATACAGATACATCAATGGCCTTCAAAGTCCCTGGAAAAGGAGCTAGGCCTGGTGGTATGTAGTCGCTGCGGTGGGACCTTGGTGAATGAACCCCAGGAGAGAGTCTTTTGGTTCCTTTATGCCTCCCTTAGGGATAAGGTTTAAGCACAGTCCAGCAGGGGCCATGGAAACAGAGCATGTTCTTGTGTTGGGTGTCAGGGGCTGGGGAAGTATACTACCCACTGACCATGAAGGGTTTGAGAGACCCCCCAAACTGAAGTAGCCCAAATGTCCCTTAGTAGAGGGAGAATAGGTAAATTTATGAGGAAACTCTGTCCCGTTATGGAAGAAAAAAATTGCAGTCTGTGTGGGGATGGGGACGAAACTCTAAGCTGCAGTAAAAGAAAGTAGCAAAAACCTGTGTATATATTTTCTGATAACAAAACGGATGTGGCCCTATATATGTACACACAGGTTTGTATTTGCATAGAAAATTCCATGGGAGGACACAAAGGAACTGGTGGCAGTTTTATTTCTGTGGAGGGTGTTCAAGAGACTGTTTTTCCTTCTGAGGCACATTCTGGATTTTAAAAAACTAGGGGTATTTTATAAACCTGTGAAAGCACACATGCCCGCATACAGCTCTTGGCCTCTGGAACACGGTCCATCCTGGTGCTGGCTCGAGTTCTGCAACATTCATCTCAGCCATTTAACCTTTCTTTACCTCCTTTGTCTTCTTTGAAGTGGACACAATATTGGAGCCCTGGACCCCTAAAGGCACATGGAGCCAGGGTGTAAACCTCTTGATAGCACCCACACCGTAAGGACTCAGTAAATATTACTTAACGTCATTTTTGTAAACATTTATTTCGTGTGTGTGCGTGTGTGTGTGTGTGTGTGTGTGTGCGCGCGCGCGCGCTTGTGAGTACGCACTGGCCATGGTATGTATTTGGAGGCCAGAGGACAGCCCAAGGGAGTCAGTTTTCTCCTTCTACCATGTGGGCTCCAGAGATTGAACTCAGTTCATCAGTCTTGGCAACAAGTGCCTTTACCCATTGAACCACATTGCTAGCCTCTTAACATCATTCATAGCTGAGGTTAGATGGCCAATGACAGACAGTCAGGGACTGGTCTTCTGATTTGGCTGGGGATTCTTTGCTTTAACCCACCGCTAAGCAGAAGAATGTGATGTGGAGGAAACAACAGAACCTGAAGAGTAAAATGGCCTGGGGACCCATTCCACTCATCATCAGTGTGACCTTGGAAAAGTCACTTCCCTTCTCTGAACCTATTTCCTCTTTTGGACAATGGAGATAATTTTGCCAAATTAGAGATTAGATGGACACAGTTAAGGGCTGGTATACCTTAATCTACGGTTGTAAGACTTGGTTGAACCTATGCCCAGAGGAAGACTCATTGGATCCCAAAGGGAACAAAAGTCAGCTTCTGGGAGCTACAGCCTTTCCATAAGCCTAGGCTAGGGGTGAACAAGAGGCCCCATAGAGTCCTCCTAAAGGCTAATGTAGCAATAGTATCACCCAAAAGCATCTTCCTGCCTCCCAGGTCTACACATTTCAGATGATGTTTGTATGTTCTCTCACTTCACCCACTGTGCAGTGTTTACCACATAACTGGTATCCAACGGAGAACTGCTGGCATGCATGGATGGATGGATGATGGATGGATGGATGGATGATGGAGAAGTTAGATGAATGGATGAATGGATAGAAGGATGGTTGCGTGTGTAGATGGATAGATGGATTTGTATGGGTGGATGGATGGGTGGATGAGGGGATAGGTGAACAGATGGTGGAATGGATACATGAATAGATGGGTGGTTGGATAAATGGGTGGTTGAATGGCTATATGAATGGATGGATGATGGATGGATGATGGATGGATGGATGGATGGGAAGAATATTCTGAATCTATTGTTTAATTGTTGCAACAGCTATGTGAAATAAATATTGTTATCTCCATGGAAAAAAAGAGGGAAAAAAAGGCTCAGCATTTTAAAAAAGAAATTTGACTTGTGATATGATCCAGTCAGCTGTTGCCAACCCTCTTGGTGTGGCTGGAAGAGAAAGGAGGGCTCCAATGGTCAGAGTCACAGCATCACAGCATACATCTACTATAGCTACAAAAGAGAGTACCATCATTCCAGGACAGTGGAGCATCTGTGCGTGTGTGCGTGTTTAAAGGACCCCATTTCATTTTCTGATAAAGTGAATGTGATTAACATCCAGTGCTACTTTTTCTTCCTTTTTCTCAACCTGTATGGCTTTTAGGGCACCTACCTCCCTGACCTTC